AAAAAAAAAGGGGGGGGGTCGTTGCCATGGATGTTGCCATGGAGAGCAGGGAGAGAGAGAGTTCTTTGTTGATTTTTGCTTATCTAAGGTATGCGAGGACCCTAGCTGCTAGCAGACAAACTTATCTCTGTCCAGTTTTCTTCTCTTTAACCCTTCCAATACTAAATTAGACTAATACAATATACTTAAAATTACACAAGAAAGGAAGCACCTACTTTTATTAATCTAAAGAAATGCTGAATGTTTAACTTGCCAGCTGAAAGTTTAAAGTTCTAGTTAAATTAAATTGGGAACAGGCTGCGCGACCTGCTCCCTCCCTCCCCTGCATTTTCTCCAACCTCATATACCTATACATAATTTTCCAAAATGAAGCATTGCTGGGTTAAATGATAAACATCTAAGTATTTTAAAATAGCATACAATACTGAAACATTGATTGCTAGATGTGTTTTAATTCGCCAGCTCTTAGTATGTATACTTTCTTGAAAGTAAGAGAAATACTTAATGGAAGGTCTGAGGCATGGTTATGCATTTTTGAAAGACATAGAAAGAAGGTTTGAAGGCTAATTTAAAAGTGTGAAATTTGTGAAGGTTGTGTATGTAATGAGAAGGAAAAGAGAAATGTTGAAAGAAAATGAGGTTTCAGTCTCCAAGCCTGGCAGGACAGGGTAGCTGGACAGTTCTTAAGCTAAACCAGAATATTAAAAAAAACAGCAAGAATAAGGTTCAGTACAAATAAGAAGTTAAGCCAGCAATTTCAGCAATTCCTCAGGAAACATAACATCAAGCACGTTACTGGCATACCATATAACCCACAGGGACAAGCCATAGTAGAACGACAGAACAAAGAACTAAAAACCCAGATTCAAAAAGAAAAAGAAGGGGGAAATACTGGCACGCCCCAACAACTATTACAACAGGCCTTATTAACTCTCAATTATTTTCATTTTGCCCCCGACGGTCTTCCTCCCATTTTCAAACATTGGGGAGGTCTCAAGGACATACCAATACCTCTCCCCTTGGTCCGGTGGAGAGATCCACTAACCGGGGCTTGGAAGGACCCCAACCCACTCTTAACCCAAGGGAGAAGGTTTGCTTGTGTTTTTCCAGAAGGTGAGAAAAATCCCGTGTGGATTCCTGCCCATAACATCAAACCCTGCACCACTAGCGATGAGCCGTAGACCACCACCACCACCACCATCACCCCCGGTAGAGGAAATGGAGGACCTGGACATAGAGGACCACCAGCCCCAGCGGTGGAGACGACCAAGACACCGACGAGCTCACCCCATCACTTGGAGCGATATGAAGGCCCTGCAAGAAGAAGCCCAGCGAATGGCACCAGACCCTAACCCCTCCGCTGGCACACTGTTTTTGCTTATGTGCGCCATCATCGCTACCAACAGCACGGGAGTCTGTGGGCAAGAGGTTTGGGCTGCCATACCCCATCCAGGCGTGCTCCTCCCTGTTGCGGTAAATAGCCCACAATTTCCAGTCATAAGAGCCTCTAACTGCACTCTTGGACTCCCCTGTGACAGGGCAGGGGCAACGGAAGCCCCCTGGAATGGTACCCTGTGGGCTAACATCTCCACCCCAGACATACTCAAATGGACATTAGAAGCCAACGTAGCAGCAGCGGAAGGTTGGACACTAGTAGGACATCACGCTACCGGAGACTTCCTGATGCCTAATGTATCTGCTACCTCAGGAACCATGATAGGACTCAATGGGACCTATCCTCTAGCACTGTCCAACTGGTCCCGACCAGTGTCAGCTCCAATAATAGAATCTTTGTGCCCATATCTCTTCCAGACACCTCACAAAGCTGAACTGCCCCTTACTGGAGTCCCCTGGGAGGACTGTCTAAGAGCGTCCCAGGTAGATGGTCAAACTAAAACACTAGGCATTTGGGGGAAATGGCTAAGAAAAGGAATGCAGCCTTTTGCCATTCAGAGTCCAATGCAGGCACTCCGCAGCCAACTTGGGAGGTGGGACTTATGTGGGCCCTCAGCATGCTTGGACATGCGCCCATTTTTTGGTCTACAAAGGCTAACTCTGTATAATGGGACATGGAATGTTAATGCGTGGAGATGGGAAGGGAATATCATGGTCTATGTAAACCGGTCTCGTCAATATTTCTTTGAACCTTGTGTTAGACCCCCTTTTTACTTTTTCCTAAGTAATTATAGTGCCTTTAATTGCACCCATGCCCTTTGCAGCCTTAGCAACTGTTGGTCCAACCCTACTCGATATGCAGTAGCCGTGCGTAACCCTGCTATACTATGGGTCCCTGCTACAACGCCTGATTGGGAAGGCCCTTCTGACTTGATAATACACAGAGACTTCGCCAGGTCTAAAAAAGCAATAGGGTTAGTTATACTACTGATAAGCACCATAATTGGTGCAATAGCAGGGGCCGCTACCGGGGTTACCTCTTTGGTTACTACCCAGTTAACCACTAGTGCCTTAAACACGCTTTCAGAATCAACGGCTCAAGCCTTTACCACGCAGGCTTCTATTAATCAGCAAATCTGGGGAGCCATAATAAACCTACAGCAACAAATAGACCTCCTTGTGGAGGAAATAGCGGGCCTGTGGCAACTTACACACACCACCTGTGACATCCGATTCCCCAGTATATGTGTAACCACGATCCCAGTGCCCAAAGTATGGCTGAAAGAGAGCACCTGGCAGCCTTACTAAAAGGCCCTTTTAGCCAACAGTTCCTTAATACCACCTATCAACTACAAAAGGAAATCTTGAAAATCAATTCTACCCACGTAGAGCCTATTGCGTATAATTTCCTTACTGGTGCTCTTGCGAGACTGACCTTCTGGTTAAACCCAGCCAACCTCCTCATCTGCGGAGTCATGATAGTAGGATTTGTCATAGGAATAGTATTATTTCGCTGTTTATACAACATGTTCAATAAGCTAAGTGCTCAGCAAGCCATGATCATACACGTCCAGCAGGCACTAATAAGAAAAGAAGGGGGAGATGTAGGGAGAGCTCAGGAGATTTATCTCAGTGCTGCGGCAGATGCAATGGCGTGAGTACGCTCCGCCTGCACAAGCTTCCTCGGCACACCAGGAAGTGGCATCGCCCGCCTGAGCTGACCCCCTAGAGCCCCTACATAGTACCCTGATCTTTCCTACTATTGGTTGCCCTATGGATGTTGTAAACTTCTGATTGGTCTGGAATGTTATATATGTTGCTGCACTTACACAATAAACTTAGGTCTGCATCACTGAACCTGGTCTCTGGAGTCGGGCATGCTTCTTCAGGACTCCGTCGGCCTCACCCCCGCGGGACCCCCTGCTTCACACCCCTTCCAGGGCCTCAGTGCTGCTTCAGGAACTTTAGCCTGGAAGTGCCTGAACACTGGGAACTGGTCCTGCACAGCACCTGCTACAGGTGCTCTGGCCTGGGAGCTAACATGTGAACACCAGGAACTTCTCCTGCGTAGTGCGGTCCCCAGAACCCCGATTCTCCTGGCAGGAGGTAGCACCAAGCACCAGTGACTTGACTGTGTTTCTTATCACCTGCGTCTGGGATTCCTGATTTCCTGTGCATTCATACTAAGAGCCAGTGAGTCCAATTCTTGGTGCATGGGCACACAGGGACCCTGATTCTCAATATGAGGTTGCGCAAAGCAACAGAGACTCTGATACTGGATTCTTGGGGAACTCTGACTCCTGGCGCATGCTAGGGTCTCTGATTTTCTACACACTCCAGGGGGGGTCTCTGTTCCAGCATGGTGCAGGCGGAGTCCCTGATTATAAGGGCACACACAGGGCCACATTGAGCACTGGTAACACTGACTCTGAGCGAGCCTAGTTCCCACCAACCCACCACAACCACATATCTTAGTATCAGAGCTCTTCAGTGACACTAGGGTGGGGTGAGGCTCCCACTGCACATGGCACAGACCCACACAACTCGACGTTTGAAACATCTGGAGATAATCAGAATGGGGAGATGACACAACCCCCAGAGGAAAGAAAATGAGGAGTCGCCAAGAAAGGAAATTAATGAAAATGAAGCATGCAACATGACAGAAAAAGAATTCAGAGTAATGGTTGTACAATTCATTCACCAGATGGATGAGAAAATCAACAACCTATGCAAGAATCAGGAAGAAATGAAAAGTGATATAGCTACAATCAAAAACACCATGGAAGGTTTCAACAGTAGACTAGAAGAAGCAGAGGACC